TCCCTCTCTCTCTCTCTCTCTCTCTCTCACACACACACACACACACACACACACACACTCTTGGTATTTGTCATATTACATTTAAACTCAACTTAGTTTCGTTAACGAATAAACCAGATTTCTATTGTGGATTCGACAGATGTAGTTTACTCTCTAAATACAGCTTAATTCTATGCGATCCAAATTTTCGCACTTCTTTTTTCCAAAGAAGTAACAATATCCGGATCAATTTAAAAGGAAATTTAGACAATTAAGGTTTTATTACAATTCAACTCAAAACTAAAATTAATGTTCTAACGATCGACGTACGCGTGCACAGTGAAATGGTATTATTTAATGGTATATATGCTTTTTTTGTTCAGTTAACCCCTTGCACTATAACATCGTATCAGACTCGTTGCGAAGATTTCGAATACAATCTATTCAATTTGGATGTTATATGATTATCTTAAATCGTTAGAAAAAATTCAATCCTTCAATCAATATTTAAACATTAAAGTAAAAGGTTCGTATACAAAAAATATAAATTCTCCGTCTCGTATAAGAATTTATTAGCGACAAAGAAGTGCTAATCGTCATAACTGTGAAGGAAATCGTAGTGCAAAGGGTTGAGAGGAGTACAAACATTTTCAGAAGCAAAATTCACTTAAAAGTGTCCGATACATCATAGTTGCCGTATAATAACAAAGTTTTGGTAGTAGAACAATTGGGAATGTTGGAAAAATAAGTTAAACGCAAACTATGTACGTTTAATTCTTTCGACTGCATTATGACGTTAAAAATCTGATCCGTATATTAAAGATAAACTTTACCAACAGGATTTATGTGTTTTCTGTAACGGAAAGAAGGGAAGGAATGGAAAAATGTATGAAAGGAAAAAGTAAAAGTGAAGGAAAAGCTCGTTTTTACGACCTCGTCAGAAAATTTTGTTTAAACGACAATCTGTTATGGACGGATACCGTAGACACTTTGTTTCTGTAAAGATTTACAGATCAATTTCTATGAAATTGTTACGCTCACTTTGCGTGTAATGGCAGCATGGAACGTATAATTGTCGAAACAGTAAAAGGAATATGTATACCAGAGATTCTTTGCCTGGAACTTTCTCTATTATTCGAATTCGAGGTTTAGAAACGAGTTTTTCGTATGACACATACGATATACATATTGTGTATAATATACATATTGTATATGTACGTGTGCATTGGACTTGTAGCACGTTATGAAATCGGAAGCTGTACAAGCGATCAAGAAGCGTATGGAGTCGTACTGTATACTAGCGCACCTCGTTGAATCTGGGTTTGTAGTATCAATCACCGTTGTTAAATACAGTCCTTCATTTAAATATAGCAACGAAATTATGGAGGATTAGGAATAGGTGACGGGAGGGAGTGTCGGGTGGGGTCTGGAGGGTAAGATGTAGGATCAAGGTACTCTCGAGCGGAGATTCGAAGGACCTTGATCCTCTCGAAAATCTTTCATTCGTAAAGCATACACAACAGTATCCCTCGTTGTCTGTTCTCGGTCCAGGCCCTACTTTGGACCGTAATTGACATCTGGAGGGAACATTTTGTGACGTCATCCTTAATACTTCTCCAATTTTTTCACATTTCTTTTTATTTATATACCAAAATATTATATCTACTATCTGATAAAAGAGATTCTCTGTCAATATTTATGTAATTATGCCTACATAATAATAATAACAATAATAATAATGATGATAATAATAAGAAGAATATGATGATGACGACGATGTTGATAGTAGTAATAATAATGATAATATTAATAATAATAGTATTGTAGTGGTGGTAGTAGTAGTAGTAGTTGTTGTTGTTATAATAATAATAATAATAATAATAATAATAATAAAATAATAATAATAATAATAATAATNTTCAGAAGCAAAATTCACTTAAAAGTGTCCGATACATCATAGTTGCCGTATAATAACAAAGTTTTGGTAGTAGAACAATTGGGAATGTTGGAAAAATAAGTTAAACGCAAACTATGTACGTTTAATTCTTTCGACTGCATTATGACGTTAAAAATCTGATCCGTATATTAAAGATAAACTTTACCAACAGGATTTATGTGTTTTCTGTAACGGAAAGAAGGGAAGGAATGGAAAAATGTATGAAAGGAAAAAGTAAAAGTGAAGGAAAAGCTCGTTTTTACGACCTCGTCAGAAAATTTTGTTTAAACGACAATCTGTTATGGACGGATACCGTAGACACTTTGTTTCTGTAAAGATTTACAGATCAATTTCTATGAAATTGTTACGCTCACTTTGCGTGTAATGGCAGCATGGAACGTATAATTGTCGAAACAGTAAAAGGAATATGTATACCAGAGATTCTTTGCCTGGAACTTTCTCTATTATTCGAATTCGAGGTTTAGAAACGAGTTTTTCGTATGACACATACGATATACATATTGTGTATAATATACATATTGTATATGTACGTGTGCATTGGACTTGTAGCACGTTATGAAATCGGAAGCTGTACAAGCGATCAAGAAGCGTATGGAGTCGTACTGTATACTAGCGCACCTCGTTGAATCTGGGTTTGTAGTATCAATCACCGTTGTTAAATACAGTCCTTCATTTAAATATAGCAACGAAATTATGGAGGATTAGGAATAGGTGACGGGAGGGAGTGTCGGGTGGGGTCTGGAGGGTAAGATGTAGGATCAAGGTACTCTCGAGCGGAGATTCGAAGGACCTTGATCCTCTCGAAAATCTTTCATTCGTAAAGCATACACAACAGTATCCCTCGTTGTCTGTTCTCGGTCCAGGCCCTACTTTGGACCGTAATTGACATCTGGAGGGAACATTTTGTGACGTCATCCTTAATACTTCTCCAATTTTTTCACATTTCTTTTTATTTATATACCAAAATATTATATCTACTATCTGATAAAAGAGATTCTCTGTCAATATTTATGTAATTATGCCTACATAATAATAATAACAATAATAATAATGATGATAATAATAAGAAGAATATGATGATGACGACGATGTTGATAGTAGTAATAATAATGATAATATTAATAATAATAGTATTGTAGTGGTGGTAGTAGTAGTAGTAGTTGTTGTTGTTATAATAATAATAATAATAATAATAATAATAATAAAATAATAATAATAATAATAATAATGATGATTGTGATCACGATGAAGATGATGATGATGATATATACTTACTTATATTTAATTAGAAGATATGTCATTTGGTTGACTAGAAGATTACGCTTAATAGATAAAGATATGTACCTTTTCATCCAAAGGAATGTCTCTCGGAAATAATAGCCGCCCAATATACATAGACCCGTTTCACAGGAGGCTGCTTGTATCGCGATGCGTGTATAATGGATACCGACCCAGCGATACGTACTTCTCTCGTGTTAAACGTTGTATCGCATACGCGTATCGCGACGCGCGTATCCTTGTGTGAAACGTGAAACATCGCATACGTACTCGTACATCTCGGAAAATCTTCGATGTTTACGAGTTTTTGTAAATTGAAAAGAGATACATACACCGAAAATCGGGAAGAGCGCGGCTATCATCTCTCAGAGAATTCGGTATTCATTAAAATTACTGATATGTATTCAGATTGATATGTGTTGCGTTACCGTAATGAAAATATCAATACAATTGTATAGCGTTATACACTTGCTTCTTTTTTCATTTTTCACTTTTCATTTTTCGTTTCTCACTTCCTTACGTTTTGTTACTTTAAGTATGGCGCACGTCATACCCTGAAGGAACGCGATGCACGGTGCTCAATTTGTACCTGCTTTGCTTTTCAACTGTAAAATAGAGATTTGTATACGTATTTGTTTCGGTATGCAGAACGGTCCACGTCGAAGAATCGAGGAACAGCGTGCACAATACGAGCAAACAGACAGAACGTAGACGAAACGTTTTGTGGATTTGCCCGGTATCCTTGTGCTTTTAAATTTCCTCGTTCGTTTCCCAGATTACTTCGTGATACAAGCTGTTGCTAGCAAGAATCGATACTTGGAAGGGTCGACCCACGTTAATTAACACCTTCGTTACCGTTCACCTTCCAAGCTATAACCCTTGTAATAGCACACTATGCGGTACATATGTATTGTATGTATGTGTATGTATCCTTGTACGCGTACTTTGCGAACTCTGCACTCTGTATTGAAAAGCAAGCAACGAATCATGCAGGAATCATACATTCTCATTCATCAGTATTTCAATTAAACACGAGGAACAGTCTAGAAGCAGAGCTTCAACAGCGATTAAGATTCTATATCAGTTTTCGAATCTTTTTTCTGATAATTAAACAATTGTTGACGCTGTTTCTGGTTGCTGCAACGTAGCAAAAAGCTGTCGTCGAATTTTAAAAAAATATTATTTCCCCTTTTTCTAGTATTTAGTCCATTCGAAGAAACAATTATTGTTTGACGAGCGACAATCGGTGCTGGGAAATCGAAGAAGTTGTACATGTATACATATACCAACGTGTATATGTATATAGATTGGGTTTGAAAAGTAGAAAGTGTTTTGAAAAGCGTCTCTCGGGTACATTGGTCATCCATATCCATAGAAATACGAGTCGAATCGAATCGAATCGAATCGAATCGAATCGAATCCGAACCAAATCAAGTTGGAGGTACGAAATAACGGAAACGCGCGCGTCGTATTCTGTTTCCACTTTTCACACAATCTCTGTGAGAGAGGAACGATTGTTCGTCGCGAAAGTGTTTCATAGAAATTCATAGAAATTTTAGTTCGATTATTGGTAGCCTCTGGAACCGCACACGTCGCTACGTTTCAAGACTAACCCAGACGATCGCGAATGGAAAAAGAAAACGAAATGCATACATTCTCAATCGATTTTTCGTTTCTATGCACACTGCACGCTGCATTCGTTGGAGCCAGGGCGAATCGATCGATCTCTATTCCATGCGATACAGTTGTGGAACGTTTCAATTGAAAAAAATAGTTATACGTTCCAGGAACCACCGGCACCACCGGACACTCGCGCGATGATGCTTGCACGTTATGACATCGTTCAGAGCACGGAAACAAACCAAGTTATTGACATTGATCGTCCATTGCGTACCGTCCGAAAATAATCGGCAGCACAAAAAATAGATTTAATTGACCTGGTAAGTGCTAAGCTCTTGTGCCGGTATCGTACATTCGCATCGAATATGTGCATTGCCGATCAAAAATACTATATTACCGTCTTCGAACAAGATCTTTCTCCAAGTTGAAAACCTGCAGAGGCAATGTTCTTTGGTTCTTCCCTCTTGGACAAATAGAAACAAGAACCGTGTTTCCATCGCAGGTAAGCCACTGATCAACGAGATTCCGAGCACTATACTTTCGACCGTCAGCATACTCGACCGTCCGTCTGAACGCACGTTATCGCGCTGCTTCCGGTTCAGTCTCGTTCCGATCAAATATTCTTTTACGATTTTGAATCATAGTATTCACGCTACGGGTGTCGTTCGTCCTCCATGCTGTACCGTGTAAGCGCATTTGATCGGACCGAGACCGAACCAAGACTGAACTGGGAACAGCGCAACAGAGTATGTTTCATCGGGCCTAATGGATAAGAATTTCTAGTTGTTCCAAATAGGATCTTTCTCATCACCGCGATAACAACGCGTCGCGACGAAACGGGACGAGACGCGATGAAACACAGTGCGACGCGACCGAGACAGAACATAGAGTCGCGTTGCGTCGATAAAGGTGCGCAGACAGATACGCGAAGCGTGCTGACCCTTGACATTTCAGTGAGAAATTTTGAACGTCCGGTACTCGTTTGCTTCTCGGCAACGAACGAGCATATACGTATAAATAGCCTCGAATCGTACATGTATCTCGGTGCTCACTCGGGTCGTTTCATTTTCATAAATACGAGCAACGAGACATCGAAAGGAAACAACACGAAAGGGGAAAAGATCGTAGAGAAAACACGGTAGGCAGGACTATCCAAGGTTCACGAGAGGGTGTCGCGTGGTGATCCATCGACGAGAGAAACCGGGTCGCAGTTTGCGGTTCGTGATTCGCGAGCCAGTGACTCGATACGGAAAAAGAAACGAAAAGAGAAATTCGAAAGAACAACGGAACAGTACGTGCGATTGTAATACGATACAGCCAACGCGATAGCGTCTCTGAATTCTTCTTCTAAACAGATCGTAGTTCAGTCGAGAAATCCGGTTTTGACCAGTTTTTCCAAAAAGAATTTCACGTCTCCCAACTCCGAGTCCTTGATTCCGATAGATTTTAACATACCCAGGTCTCCGTTCTCCACCGCAATGAACACGGTACGCAGGTACTCCAAGTCGGCTCGCATCAGATGCAACGCTGCGCCAAAGTCTTCGATCGTTTGAGATTCTATGCGATACAAATAGATTCGTTAAAATCGATCTAATACGAAATCGAACAAAACGAGTTTTCGAAACCGATCGTCGGTACCAAGCGCTGGTAAGCGCGACTATGAAAGTTAAATGGGCTTCGTCGACTAAATGAATCAATGCTGATGTGTTTTTCACAAGTAATCGTTTTTTTTTTAGCTATGATTAATTGCACATTCAACAGAGAACAACGTGCTGGCACATGATAATGATAGAGACAAATAAAAGAGACGAAAGCCTGCTTACCGGATAGCGCTATGGCTACCGCGTTTACTCCGCCCAGTGGTTTCAAAGTGTCCCGCGCTTTCGTACCAAATAATTTCTCCAAATAATTAGGTCCATGACTTGCCAAAAGTGACTGAAGGAAACTGGCAGTTTCCTCTACCGGTGGTCTCTTTGCTGGAACATAAATATAAATGTTCATTTCAACATCGAATTTGCCCGAAGCTCGAATATTGCAATGCCGAGAAGTATCAATGACATTGGTTCGACTACCGCTACATTTTTGCGAATAACTTTTGCACAATGTACGTTTAAGTATTTCAAACGATCGATCCAAAAAACTAAGTAGTACCAGCGGTGCAAAGTCGAGAGTCCTCGTCGTATCCGTTTTGACAATCCGGAGCTCCGTCGCAAAGATACTGAATGGAGATACATGTACCATCTCCGGGACACTTGAACGGTTCGTACGGGTGGCAAGCATCTCCTGTAACACAATACGTATACACACTTTCGTACAGAAGTACACGCACGCGACAGACAATGTACGCGCTCGTATAGAGAATCGTCCCGAGAAAACAACTTGTTAAAACAAACGTAAGTGGTAAGAAGAAAACTGTTTACATAAGTAACATACGAATACACGTAAGCCAAGTGACAATCCCTAAGTTAGTATACACGGATGATGATTATTAGTGGTCGGACAGTGTGGCTGATATTGACCGAGCAATATTAAAGGGGGAGCGCGACATGCGACATTGGTTTCGTGTTTCCCTACGCGTGTTATCATCTAATGGACGTCGATTTAATTGACCGGTCCGCGTTCGTTTGTATTTTATTTGTTCACGTTCAGAATACATACGAAGTATGCGATCGCCGATGGGCTTTGACAAAAAATAAGGGCAATCGAGAACAGATTCTTTGCGAAAGCTTATTCGTTTATGTCGCAACAAACATAGCAACCATTTATTTATCCCTCCGAAAAATTTACTCCTCAAATGACAATTCAATTTATTGGTTTAAACTGCTTGAGTTTCGAACGTCAAGAGGTCACGCGCATTTGCGAAACTGAATCGTTCGGATGGCCGCATCGAATAAACTACGTTAAACCAATGAACAAACTTATCGCGACTACGAATCGTAGCATGCCGTGCAAGACCACGTGTGTTCAAATTACCACTTATACCAACACTACCATCGGCGCAACAAATTGTCCGGGCATCACAATGAATTGTACACATACGGTATACAACGTAATACGGGCATGAGATGCACGCTAATCGATTTTCCAACAGTCCGACCGACCGACCGACCGATAATATCGTTTCGAATTGTGTCGAACGATTCAAAGCACGACCTAACACCAGTCGGGTCTCGATCTCAATTTCAACTTCGATTTCGATCTTAATTGCGATCTCGATCTCGTTCCTGAATTGATTTTTTTTTACAAGGCTTAAAGCGGTGTACTTACCACTGCGCTTCGAGTTGTAATGATCGTGAAATCGACTCAAGTCGATTGCCATAACGGCACGCGGAAAAACAAGGCAGGCGCTCAGGGCGAGGCTAAGCGCAGCCACGCTGGTGCGGAACCTTTGAACCATTCTCAGCCGGCGGACGGTTCGCTATAATTCTATCGACGTACAAAGTCAACCAACGTTTGTCAGCCAACAGAAACGCGACACGGACGGACTATTTTCTAACGACTCTACGAGACGACTAGATCTTCGCGAAAACCGCCAAACTTCTTCGCGGTGTGGATTTTGAATGCTTTCAAGTCCGAGACCGTGCTTCACTTCAATAATTACACTATGTTTCTTTCGACGTTTCCTTGTCTCTCGCAGCCACCCACCGTCTGTGTCTGTTTGATTCCGAGTGGCTGGCGCTGGTGCCTGATACGGGATGCACAAGCACTCTGAACACACCTGCGCGTACATACGCACGCCACACATACCCACGCCAAGTACGTAATTATGATCCCTACTCTTTCCCTTTTTGTCTCTTTCTCTCTTCCTCCCTTAGGGACAACACGACCATGGGGATGGTACGATCGCGCGCAGAATCTCGCTCGACCAATCGGCTCGTAGGTCTCGACGGATACGACCAACCGCTATCTGCGAGATCAAATGTACTGCCCTGGAACACCCACGCAACCCTTCTCTGCCGAGCCGCATCGATTTCAACCCTCCTGTACTCGTGCGAAACTTTTGTTTATCGTGATGCTGCGTTTACAGCGCGATAGGAATACGCGTGTAGGATAGCCAGGCGTGTGCTACCCTTGGGACTAGGTATAACATATTCCACGGAAATTCGAGGAATTCCCTCTTAATCGAATTAACCGGTGACCTCGAACCCTCCTCCTTCACGATGTAAACGCGTTTCTCGTTTCTTCCACCCAACCCTTTCTTGTATCCACTTTCTTCTACTACGGTTACGGTACAATCACAATGTTCGATACAGAACAGTGTACATATGGTTCAACGAAAATCAAAAATTGCACGGCAATTTGGATAGTTCAACTTTGAGTTTTCTCTGTTTTTCAACAGAGATCGTGAAATACGTCGAATATATATATATATAGTATATTGTTCCAAAACGATTGATAAAAAAATGTCCAAAGTTTACTTGTACCGTCAAGTTCCACGATTCGAGATATTGAACGCGATTCGCGCAAAGACCAACCCTTCTACGAACATCATATTCTTTCTTTAAGCATCGATTATTATATAACACACTACACAATATGTATATCTATGTGTACACGTACTATTAATCGCATACACGATCGGTTTTGATCGATATAGGTATTGCTCAATACCCTTTGTTGCAATGTTATGTAATAATAGAATTAGCAACATATGAAATGTGTGCATGCATCTACATATATCTTATGAAAAATTTGATTAAGATTTTTAAATCAAAGGTACTTCGAAGGTATATACTCTTCGTTGTCCTTTAGAAATAATTCAGCCATAAGGAAAGTTTAATATGACACGGTAGTTTAACGTATTTCACACGAGTACATATTAAATTTCTTCATTGAGGGATCTTGAGCCTACGTTGCGCAACTAAGAAATGTTTCGTTAATTTTAAAAAACGCGATGCACATTGAAAGCCAATATAAAACGTGTTGTTTGTTTTACTGGTATGATTCTATGGAATGAAACTCTTTTAAATGCTCCTATTTTTTATGTTTTATTCTAATTATTTTGTTCATACACTGGTGCCTATCGTGTTCGTCGTCAATGCATTTGTTGGTATTACAATCGTTTTCTGGTATTAATTACGAATTGTATGTATGTACTTTAAGATGTAGCAACGTCTAAAAATTTGACATACGTTTTAGATACGAGCCTGAACTTCCGCGGTAATTATGTATACGTACGTACATATACTATCGTACATCGTACATAACCTGAGAGAAATATTGACATACATACATGTTTGTATTTGGTTTTGCGTAGCGTTTGACAAGTTTTCCGCGGTATCGACATGGAGTGTTTTTTACCAATTAAATAACTGGTAAAAAATAATGATAGTGTTACCTGCTATGACATTTTCATCGACCCAAACGCCAAGGAATCAAGTAAATAGATGAAAATGTGTTGGCTTGAGTTTTAAAGAAACCAACAGTATGGAGGATCTAAAATTTAAATTCTTTGGTCTTATCAATAAACAGGTGAGAATGATAATTACGTTAAAGTTTTCGCGATTCAACGTCGCCCGACAATTCGTAAGAGCCGTGTATACAATGTGTAATGTGTTTTCACTTTATTGAAACATTATAGGTTAAATTTTACGAGGAAAACTCGGTTTAGTTTTAAGGAAGTTAAAAGAATATTTATTCAATTACTTCAGTGTGGTTTATGATTGCTTTTGATCGTTGTTTAGAATGTAGCCAAGGTTCCGCTTATGGGATTACATTCTGACCTACTCAATCCCCCGGAGTCACAGAAATTAGATGATATACACTTGGAAGCCGATCAATCGACAGAAAGTGAACCCATTCCTGATGAAGAAATATTGGAATCTATAGAAGAAATTTATTTTAATGAAAATCATAATTTTGATTCTTGTAGACATGAATTAGAAAAATTACCAAAAGTATTGCAATCCAAAGAGATAGAGAAGAGTTATAAGAAACTTAAACAGCAACATCAGGTTGTATCGAAGAAAGTTTTACAGCTCATTTTAAAGAAACAGAATACTTGTAAGAAAGAGTTTGACAAAATTTTATTGATACAAGAACAATTACAAGATGTGTTGGAGATCTGTAAAATGGGAAGAGCAGACTTACAATTAGCAGAGAAACAATTTACAACAGCTAGCTTAGGAATACTAGCAAATTATCAAAAACGACAAATTGTGGAAGAACTATTAAATAATTTAAATACTATAAAAACATTAGTTAGTTTTTCTCTTTCCGGTTTTGCCTAATTCCAAGCATTGATTCGACAAAAATATAAATATAATCGATGTAATATTTTTCAGCAACGTACAGGAGATCGACTACAGGAACTTTTAGATGAGAAGAATTATCCTAGGGCAATATCGTTGCTTCTAGAATGCCAGAGCGCTGCCCAAACGTATAAACATTTTCACTGTATCGCTGCTTTACATGGAAAATTACAAGATATATTAGAACAAGCAGAAGAAGCATTGGATGTTACACTTTCAAAAATCTGCATGCAATTCGATGTAGAAATATATACGTCTGTTCAAGAAGCTTATGCTTTATTAGGAAAAACTCAGTCCGCAATGGACCAGCTACATATGCATTTTACAGCTGCGATTCACAATACCGCTTTTGCGACTGTTCATTCGTATGCGGGCGGAGACACAAAGAAGCAATATAAACAACTTTGCCAATCAGTACCTCGTGAAAAATGTATAATTTGTTTAACAGAACTATGTAAATCACTGTGGACAATATTGAGCTCCTACTATTTGGTAGTAAATTGGCATAATAAGCAACAGAGTAAGGTCAAGTTCGATCCTGATGTTACAGATTTAGAGGAAACTTTTAGTAAAGAATATGTGAAATGTAAATTAGGAACCAGTATGATTCGCATATGGCACGACGTTGAAATGAAAATATCAATATTTTTAATGAATGCTGACTTAACTTACATTAAATTTGAACAATTTGTTCGAGTTCTAGGCATAGTTAATAGGTAAGACTATTTGGTAGTTGTGATTTATTTCATAAATTATGTTGGCCCATGTAATGTTACAATTGCAAAAATCTACTTACAGATTAATGGAAATTGGAGAAGAGTTATGTGGCTTTAAGTCCGAAAATTTACAAGAATCTATAAGAAAACAATCGTTATCATACTTTTCTCACTACCATGCGTCAAGACTAGACGAACTTATAATGTTTTTAGAAAACGATGGATGGGAATTGTGTCCTGTTAAGTCAAACTTTGTGACAACACAATTACAGGAATTCAAAAGTTTAAAACCGGCGCTGAATATTTGTAAAGTATGGAACAATTTAGATAACTCTGCTGTTAATGAGAACGATAATTTATTAGGCATAGAAAGGGTGCAAAAATTTTTGGAAGGAGGCGTGTCTCCGTTTTCTATAGGTCTGGATGATACTATGGATGAAGATATTTTATTAAACAATGAGGTATTATGGAATTGTTCTTTTTCTTTCCGTTTTGTTTCTTTTGTTTTATGAAAGTAACATATACATATACAGTAATTATGGTATATGATAGAACAATGAATAAAACAATATGCAATACTTAGGAAAATCCACCTGCGTACTTTTCTGATGAATCCGATGATGACATCCCAGATGAATTGAAGCACGAATATGTCGACGATTCAGATTACGTTAAGATAAATAAGAGAAGATGTAAATTGAAACAATTGGGACCTATGATTACGAATACTACTCTAAATATATTACGTGTTTGCGTAAAATATTTACAAATGTCTAGGCTCCTACGTTCAATTGCAGTTACCGTTATACAGAGTATGATACAATTTTATGAGCTGTGCTTCTACACGGTACATTTGTTTTTCGCTTCGGACCTTGTAAGTTGATTTTATACATACTATAGTGAATGAACGTGAAAGCTATTAAAGAGTGATTGCAAAGGAATTACGTTAATTTCTTTCAGGTGATAAGTGCCGATTCGTTGTATACTCCTAAATTAAAATCATCATTGGCAAGAATTAAAGAAGATTTAATCATTTGCGAGAACAATACCGACGATAACGTTAAAATGAATTCCCACAAAGTACGACAACTGCAGCTCTCTTCCATCGTAAATTTGACACAACCAGAGAAATTATACGGTTTGACCGAGCGTATAGTAGCAGTGGAATCTTTAATATTTCTAGGGCAACAGTACGAAGATTTGAAACCATATTTAGAACATCTTATACCATCTAGCCCACAACGTGGATTCCTTCATCGATTTTATATGCAAACGATAGCATCGATGACGGACTTGAGAAAACCTGTTTACATGGCGGTAGTATCGCAAGCGCTCGATATGACAAACATTTTAAATTTAATGAATAAAGTTAATTGGGAGGTGGCAGGTGTAATGTCTCAACACAGCGGTTATATTGACGAATTACTTCAGGTACATGTCCCAAAAACGTAAACGTTCCAAACTTTTCAACGATATGATTATAGTTTATTTCATGAATAAAAACAGCGATTTACGGATCTATTGATATTTGATATTTATATCGTATAAAGACATATTTTATATTCCACTTGTAGGAAATATCCGTTCTAAACGAAAGGCTAAAGAATATTGGAAGTTGTATTCCTTTGTCGAATGATGTTTATAATGCCGTTTGGGAAAACGTTGCCCACCTTATAACCCACACTTTGGTAGAAGGGTATGCGATTCTGCTTCTGTATCAATTTTTTAGTTTCATAATCCTCTATTAACCTTTGTTACATATTCGGTTTGCCACAGTTTTTCTAGCGCCAAAAAGTGTTCAAACGGAGGAAGAGGATTGATGATACTCGACTTCACGCAACTGAAATCAAAGTTCGAGACTTTAACATCTTTGAGACCAATGCCGCACCGAGAATACGTTGAGTTGTACATTACAGCTTATTATCTTCCAGAAGAAACTTTAGAACAGTGGATAAAAGAGCATAAGGTAATTCGCAGGATACTAATACTTTTTTAATCAATTCTATGTAAATACATGCATCATTCTGTGCTTTTCTTCTATAGGAATATTCTGGCAAGCATTTAATCGGATTAATTTGTTCGGCTTGTCAAAAAAATAAGAAAACTCAGCAACGATTAATAGGTTTAGTAGAAGAACAACGACCCGGTAGATAGCATCAAGCTATACATTATAATATATATCAAGATTATGTCGAAATAGGAATTGTCTGAAAGATGAATTCTTACAAAGGAAGTACTCAATCCATAGATACGAGCCCTTCTCTTTATTTCTTTTTCATTTTCCTTTTGAAATCAGATCTGATACTTAAATTGAAATTACTAGGATGTTTTTATGTTCGATGTAAAATAAAGTTTATATGCGATTTCTAAAAGAAACTATTCCGTGTAAATAGTCGAGGATAGTCGAAGATAGTCGAGGAACATATTCTATTGTAACGCGAAAAGCTGAGTCAAGCCAGCATTTTTCCAATTTTCATGAGAATTACTTTCTTGCAGTACTCGAAACCTGGGTCCACTGACAATGACCTATAATAGATCTGATGAAAATGAGTTCGTAAAATTTAAGAAAAATGTGATACGAACACAAATTTGAGATTCTGATATTACAAAAATATGTAGTGTTAAATATCTTAAGTAATGTCAGTAACAGAACGAAACTCATATCGGAATGTATAACTATAATTGGATTCTTACGATACTATTATATTATATATAAACAAATTCATACAATCATGTATTTTTCACTCTGTATAATAGAAGAGGTATACAATTTATCACAGTATTAACATGACTTTTGAGTAAAATATATAAGCACCTTTAAATTGGAAACCAGTCGTTAACGACAATTTTGTTATTGGAAAAGCATCTTGAACATGAATCGCGTTTCCTTAATGATATTAATCATTTAATTTATATTCATTTTAATTTTGGAGATTTCTTCACATAAATAATATACACTTACGATTCAAAGTAATTTTTCAAATACACAAGATGATTCTAAAATACACAACAATACTTTAAAGTATTTATTTCAATAGATGCCTAAACAACATTAAAACTGATAAAAAAATGTCGTGTTTACTCGTGTATAATTATCAATTAATACTCGTATAATATTTTTTAATTCGTTTCAGTGTATAAATTCACTTTCTAAAATGTTGCTA